ATTATAAAAATGAAAAGCCCTTTACCAAACAGTACACTTTAGTTATATATATTATGATGAGAAATCCCCCAATGCCATCCACTCCACTCCGTGACCCACATGTCTTCTTTTGTCAACCAACTTTGCAATGTGCCCTAATTGTTCATGCACCCACAAAAGAAATAGACATTACATACCTTTTAAATAGTACCAATTAAATTATACGTTTAAGTTACATTATTTTTTAAATAATACCAATTAAATTATATCTTTATGTAGACTAATAGACTGCTCCAATTGAGAACAAGATTACCAAGTCAATAGTCTAACTAATTTAGTTAGAGTTGTCCCAATTCTGTCGTACTTTGTCTATATGTGATGATGTATATAATAAGTATACCTCAAAGAACCCCCAATTCTCGCAAGAATCTTTGATGATCTCCATGATTTCCAATCTCTCAACCCCATTAAGCGTTTCCATGCATGATGATAACTGGGAAATTGGCCATTTTTTTCAATTCTAGTAAACGCAAGTGCAGTTTTTGATGATTGGAATGTGGATAAGAAGATAGATATTTGGTGCTTTAATTTATGATAGATATAGGTCGAAAGGGCATACATAATCTTGTTAATCGTAAGCACATAAACTTACATTGATTTGTCAACTACTTTTTACATTGTTCTAAGTTCATAATATGTGAAGTCAAGTAAATAAATTTAAAGTTAAAAGTTCATAAATTAAGTATTTGATATGTAATCATGATTATTATATAGTTTTAAGAGATATTTGATTGGCAATTATCAAGTTTTTATTATGAACCCCTACAAAATTTCCCATCCATGAGGGTCCAAGCTAGGCGCGCTAAAGAAGAATAAGTGCTTCATCGTACCGATGTGAGAAGACTGCATGGCAGCGCAGCCACCAATTATCATAGTTTCATATACAGTCAACAACGTTCACTAATAAGTAATAATCATTAAACAAATTAAATTCCTATTTTGGCTCTTCAAACTCCTGCAAGTGGTAAGTACTAGTGTTTGGTTGGAGGAAGGAATTAGGAAGAAAAGGAATTGTAATTTGGTTGGAAAAGAATAAGATAGGAATTGAATAATGTAGGAACTCAAATTACATTGTTTGGTATCAAAAGTATCAAACAATTAAAATTTTGAAGTATTCAATTCTTTTCATTTTCCTAGTTATTTTCTGGAAAATGAACCGAACACACAAAGACAGTTTTCTGTTGTGTAGCCAAACACCGGAAAGGGAAATGTTTTCTGGAAATTCATTTTCCAGAAAACATTTTCCAAAAATCATTTTCCAGCTTTCCAAACGGAACCTAAATTACATCCAACCAAACACCCCTAAGTACTCGTCGGTACATTTTATTTTTTATTTTAAATTAGTATTGTATCCGTGCGATGCACGGATATGACTTATGTTAAGTAATGTTACTTGAATATTAACATATATAATAAATTATAAATAACAACATACTTAATAATAAAATTAAAATAACATACTGATGTTTTCAATGACTTCACAGTGGGATAAACATACACACTTTTATTTGTAAACTGTATTTGTTTAATTATTGTAAACTAATTAAAGAGTTATTTTATTTACATTAGAAGGTTTAGGCATTTATATCTCGAAAATATTTAAATCAAACCATCACAATGTAAAAAATCAAATCAATCAATTTAACTATAAAAAAACAAGTCATGGAGACAATTAAGAGATTTTAATTTCCCAATCATGAGGGTAATAACATTATTGAAAAAAAGTTGAATATTGTTGGACCGTGATGCACGCTATAAATGTACTTTTAGTATATAGCTTTTGCAATCTGTCATGGAGACAGTTAAGAGATTTTAGTTTCCCAATCATAAGGGTAATAACATTATTGAAAAACAGTTGAATATTGTTTTTTTTTTTTTTTAGTATTATTGACTTTATTACAAGGTAGTATCTATTCTGTGATATTCTCACAAGGGGAGGTATAGAGGTGTCATCTGAGCATAAGGTGTTTGACGAATATTGTTTGTTTGTTTTTGTTTTGTTTTTTTTTTTTGTTTGTTGTTTTTGTTTTGTTTTTTTTTTTGTTTTTGTTTTTTTTTTTTTTTATTCGTTAAAGATGTTATATATTAGAAGCTAGTAATAGAGACAATACTTGATTTATTTTTTTTTTATTGGCTGTGAAGAAAAGCGTTGTCGTTATACGACTTATACGTAATTAATTTTTTCTTCACAGACATTTCATATGCAAGGCTGATTTTTTAATCAATTAATCCAGTTAGGAGTACCTACGTGGCCCTTAACTGATGGAAATTAAATCCAATAATATGTCGGGGTGGCCCACTAGCTTAGGGTACGTGGGCAACAATTTTTTACAGTATACTTAATTGGTCGGTAACATACATTAAATCAAAGCTTCCTTTTTCTATTGCTTTCTCTCTTGAAAGTGCAACATGAATACTTGCAACAGTAGGCCAGTGTCACCACCTTTAATTTCCATACTTTCAACAATATAATTAGGATGGAGGCTCGGAGAAGCAAGTCTAATATATATCTTATTATCGTTGAAATAGGAAACTAATTGTAATATAAGTATAAGAAAATAATTAAAATTGAGCATTTAAATGCTACTAATTATAACTTTTACGATTGTTTCAAAAAAAAAAAAAAAAAACTTATAAGATAATAGTAAGTTCTTGATTATTGAAATTAGTATTAGAGTCAGTAACGTTTGAAGTCATTGAAAGCATGTTGTGTGCCTATAGTTCACAATAATGACATCTTTAGTATTAAATTAAAATGTGCAAAATTAAATATTAAACAGTTAAGTTGTGTTTACTTTAATTATTTCCTAATTAAAAGTTGAATATGTTAATAAATACTCCGTATATATATAGCCAATTGTTAACGAATATTGGGATATACGGCAGCTAGGACTGACATACTGACATCTAGGATTTGTTAGTTAAAAGTTAGTTACTTGTTAGTTAAAACATTAATATAAATCTATTACAAAGTTATTTTTTATTAAAATTTTATTATTTTAATGATGATAATAAAAAATATTTTAATTAAAATAAAATTATAAATTAAAATTTATAATAGTTATTTCTTATACAATTTTATTGTACGGATGATAATAATTATTATTTTAATTAAAATAAATTTATAAAGTAAAATTTATAAATTTATAATAGTTATAAAAAATTAAAGATTAAACAGAGTAATAACTATAATAAAAAGATATAATTACATAATTTTTCTCTTATAACTTATTATAATAAAAATAATACATAAGTTGATAAATATAATAATTCTTAACTAAAGAAATTGGACAATTTATTTTTGGGATGTATGTTAGTTCGGCCTTATCAAAAATTTTATTGCTTCGGTTGGACTAGCTGATTGATATTTAATTAGACATTGATAAATGTAATAACATTTCAACAAATAATATAGGGTCATATTTGTGAGATCCGTGTGACGGGTCGGGTCGAGTTGATTCAATATGAAAATGTAATACTAATTAGGAATAAAGTGTTTGTTACTTATAAGCTAAGGAACGAATGTGTAAGACTGTTGAAAAAATGTATTTGATCTGTCTTACTTACTATTCATGGGTTAAACCAACTCTTTCTTCTTTGCTTATTTCTATTAGCATTTTCTTATAATTTTTAAATTTGATTTTTTGTGTTTAATAGTATTTTTAATGTATCGTAGTTTCTAAATAATAAATTTTACATACTAATTCTAAACATAATATTATGAAAAAAAAAATTGTAGAAAAATAATAATAAAATTGTCAAGAATTAATCAACTTAATAGGGATCTTTTATGGGCTATTTAATAAAAAGTTTGGAAGTATAAAACTAGAATAGCACTTGTTAATAATTGATATTATTATCTGTAATGTCCTCCATGGCTCCATGTCTCCCCTCATGTGCTTCAAGATATATCCATTATTCATGTTTTTTTGTCTGGTCAACTTTTTGTAGCAGAAGAGATCGATTAGATCTCCTAACAGTGCCAAACGCCATCTGTACTGTTTAACCCAAAATCTTCTCAATAAGTCAATATCATCTCCTAACAGTGCCAAAGTTAAAGCAAACTAACGTGTCAAACTTTAAATATCAGAAAACACCTACATACAAAACACAATGAAAATATGATTTGCTACCATACCATACTAAATTAGCTTAGGTAAGTGCTAATTATCTCTAATGAATTGGAATTGTACCGAATCAAAGAGGTAGGATAACTTGTGTTGAGCATAATTATATAATGTAATATAGAAATGTTTAAATCTAATTAGGGTGGTGTTAGACAATTAGTTGTTAATTAGTTGATAGCTGATAGTTGATTTTGTTAATTAATTAGCTGGTTTAACCAACTGATAACATTATATGCAAGTATTATTTGTGACCATAGAAAATTTAAATTGTTTATAGCTATTCAACTTAAATTAAGAAGATTAATAGACTAAAAATTTTCAAACAAAAATCAAACTTATAAAATTATGATTACCAAAAGCTAGCAAAAATCTTGATCAACTTTGCCAGAATTATCTCTATCAAGACTATTAATTTGATTACATGTGCTGAGAACCTTCCCGGGCCGGGCTCTGTAGGGCATTGGACGGGCGTAAGGGCTGCTCCCACATGTATAAAAACTTATTAATTACTTATACTTGCGAGGCAACTTCCAATTCTCTTGCAAGTTGCAACATCCTCGACAAATTGAACCATAAAACGACAACGACAAGTGGAAGCAACACCCAATGAATGAGCGAGTAGGTTTCACGTACGGTCAAGATAGACAGAATTTAGGAGTCCATATTTAGGGTTGGATGGTCCACCACGGGACAGTGACATAAACCATATTCCTTCGAAGACTTTGACTTGGACTTGTATCCTACAATCTTGTGCTTCATGGCTAGAATGTGGGTCCCAGGAGGACAGCTTCATTCCACTATAAATATGTTACACCCCTTCACCTATCCATCATCACAACTTAAAAGCACCATATATCTCCTTGCTTGTTCACATTCACTCACTGCAGATACTTTCAAGAATTGAGAAAATGGCAAACTTCCCAGTTATCAACATGGAAAAGCTTAATGGCGCTGAGAGAGGAGATGCCATGGAACTCATCAAAGATGCCTGCGAGAATTGGGGTTTCTTTGAGGTATTTCCTATATAAATGCATATATAGTATATCTAGGTTATAAGAATATATGTGAATTATGGAAAGAGCTAGAATTAACGTTGTTGTTTGTTATAATTTAATGTAGTTGTTGAACCATGGGATTCCTCATGAAGTAATGGACAACATTGAGAAACTGACAAAGGAGCATTACAAGAAGGTAATGGAGCAGAGGTTTAAGGATTTGGTAGCCAGCAAGGGCTTAGAAGGTGTAGAAGCCGAGGTTACTGATATGGATTGGGAAAGCACTTTCTTCTTGCGCCACCTTCCAGTTTCCACCATTTCCCAAGTCCCTGATCTTGACGACAATTACAGGGAGGCAATGAGAGACTTTGCCAAAAGATTGGAGAAACTAGCAGAGGAGCTTCTAGACTTGCTGTGCGAGAATCTTGGACTAGAAAAAGGGTACTTGAAAAAGGCCTTTTATGGATCCACAGCTCCAAATTTCGGGTCCAAAGTGAGCAACTATCCACCATGCCCAAAACCAGATTTGATCAAAGGTCTCCGAGCCCACACCGACGCCGGCGGCATAATCCTCCTCTTCCAAGACGACAAAGTTAGCGGCCTCCAGCTTCTGAAAGACGGGGAATGGGTGGACGTTCCTCCCATGCGCCACTCCATCGTCGTCAACCTGGGCGACCAACTCGAGGTGATCACCAATGGTAAATATAAGAGCGTGGAACATAGAGTGATTGCGCAAACAGACGGGGCCAGGATGTCCATAGCTTCGTTCTACAACCCAGCAAGCGATGCTGTCATCTACCCGGCACCGGCTCTGGTGGAGAAAGCTGCTGATGATGAGAAAGTTTACCCAAAATTTGTGTTCGATGATTACATGAAGTTATACGCAGGCCTAAAGTTTCAGCCCAAAGAGCCGAGGTTCGACGCCATGAAGGCCGCCCAAACTGCATAGAGATATCAGCATTCATGTTCAATCAAGGGAAGATGGACAAGTGGAAGTCTCTGCCTAATTCAAAGACATATTTATTATTATTATTTTATATTTCTTATTCTTGTTTTGGAGGATGAAATAAACTAGGCCTTTGCTACTAAAGCAAGACCTCATTATGTATCATTTCAAACATTCTTATTTTTCTTCAAGAATATTATTAATGTGAAATTCCATATTTGTCTAATGGATATTTGTAATTCTCTTCAAATTAAGTTTTAATAGAACAACAAAGCATAAATATTTCCATATTTTCCTTTCAATCCTCAATTTAATTGATTGCTTAATCAAATTAAAAATCATATAACCTGTGGTGTGGTTGAGTGGGATCGAGGGACTCATCCATCCTTAACCAAATGTCAATGATTCAATGGCTTTGGTTATGGAGCAACCTTTAATTTACAGGCCAGATGTCTCACCCAAAAGAGATACCTATAATTCAGGGAAAGGATTAGTTACTGTGTTTGATAGTGGAAACTTAGGCTACACCCAAAAAAAAAAAAAATTAAAAACCATACACACGTGTGAGCGAAGGATTGATGGAACATAAGGATGATAGGAATACAAAAATTTGGGCAAATCCACATTATTGCACCCACAATACCACCAACTCTCTAGGAATCTCTTGGAAGTTAGTAAACTTGGACAATAATTATCATGGCCGGTGCATTGTCATTTAGTTTTCATATATGTTTGATGGAAAATGTCATGTATGTCCCGTCTCAAAATTTATCTAATAACTCCAACCCAATAATAGTGAGAATTCCTTACAAATTAATCTTATTAACAACAAATGAAGAATCATTCTCTAGGATAACAACAGATTGATATTATCCCAATAAGGCATTAGCTCTTGATTGATAATCCAAACTTGTCATAAAGGATATACATTCTTCCAGAGCTTAGACATTTAGACCAATCATTATAGCAATGGTTCATCTTGTAAGTTAGACTATTGACATAATATTCATTTTTAATATATTGAAAATTTATTTTTAATACATTAAATGTTATTTTTGAAAATTCATTACTTGGTAGTTGGTAGTATACCAAATAATGAGTCTTTATTCATCAGTACATAAAAAATAAAACTTCAATATATTAAAAATTACGGAGTAGTATTTATTCATGATCCACATTGCAACATGGACTATAGTCTATAGTATAATATATTTACCCATTTAGACTTGTATGCAGTCTTTCCGCAAATTATGCCGTGCAACCGAATGCACCTTGCAAGGTGCATACAGTTGCAAAACGGCGCCGTTTTGGTTAAAAAAAAACGCGCGTCTCACTTAAAGAAGAAATCAGGTTCGATTCCCGGTAATAGCATTTTTATATATCCAGAAATTCATAACTATATATCCACAGTGAATGAATGAAGTAAAAATCCACAATGAATGAACTAAATATCCACAATGAATGAACTAAATATCCACAATGATTGAACTAAATATCCACAATGAATGAACTAAATATCCATAAACTCATAACTATATATCCACAGTGAATGAATGAAGTAAATATCTACAATGAATGAACTAAATATCCACAATAAATGAACTAAATATCCATAAATTCATAACTATATATCCAGAAATTCATAACTATATATCCATAATAATGCTATTGCTGAGAATCGAACCTAATTTTTTTTTTTTAAAGTGGAACGCGCGTTTTTAATCAAAACGGCGTCGTTTTGCATCGTATGCACCATGCGCATGTTACATTCGATTGCACGGCATAACTATTGGTCTTTTTCCTTGTAGATCTAATTCCACTTTAATTTGGGCCGAAATTGATCCATTTATTCTACGCTGCGACAGGCCTAAAAAATAAAGACCAGTCCTATGATCCATTGAATTAGGTGGGTCGAAGAATCTGATCATTTATATTTGAGAAATCTTGAACAATTTTAAACACATTCTTTAAAAAATATAATCTCTATTCTCTAATATGATCTTTAATCTGTAAATTTATTTGCTTTAAATCAACCTATATATGTGATGGTGTATTAGGTAGTTTAATTAAAAGACCTAAGCATTACAAACCAAGGCGGAAGCTCGAGAGTTGAGTTTAATATCCTACCATTAAAATGTGGCGCTAATTGCTATACAAGTATAAGAAAATAAAATTATGTAATTGCTCCGGAAGCGTTTGGTCCTAACAATTTGTATCAGAGCAATCATTGAAACACGACACTCACAATGAAAATAATATATCATCACAATTATATCAATTTCAGTACTTCCATTTTCTAGATCAAGATATATATATATATATATATATATATATATATATATATATATATATATATATATATATATATATATATATATATATTAGTCCACTGACAATTTTCAAAATTCTTTCAACCCCACTGACAATCTTCTAATTTAGTCCACAACATTAGCAAATGCTTGCAATCTTTCAGCTTTCACTGTCGTGTGTGAGATGGCCAAATGCCAAAGATGGAAGAAATCAGCTCAAGAATAGTTCTTCAACCAACGTAAGGTTCGATCAAATCACAATCTCCTCCAATGACTGAACTATAATGACACTAATTAATTATTCAAACCCATCTATCTCAACTATATATATACTCTAATTATGCTTATTATTTTGTCCTTTTTGCTTTGCTATTTTTTTAAAAATATATATATAATAATAAGACGAATAATGACATAGACACAACTGATACGTTATGTAAACAAGATCTCAATTACAAAAATCAGTTCAAGATGATGAGTTGGGGGTTTGGCCCAATTAAACTTAAGTATCTGGTGAGATAATTAGATAAGTGTACGAGTTTCAAACCTAGCTCGGAACATTACGAATAAGTAATAGTCAAAGTGTCAAAGTAATTAAAGCTGTCAATAGTAACGGTCAAAAGTTGTTACACTTAATGTAAGAGTCATTAGTATATGTCGAACGACAAAGTTAGCCCAAACAATTATTTCTAGCTGTTGTATCCATTGTTAGCTTTGTATATACTTAGCCATTATTGTAGCAGGTAGATGACACGATTTAAGCTTGTACTGAACGCTACAAACAATACAACCGCTTAATTAACTGTCCATTTTATTCTTAATATTAATAGTTAATTTTATGGTGTTACATCTTATTAATATTGTCACCACTCCACAATCTCTTATATATGGAGCTAATATAAGATTGTATTACCCTCAAAGAAACAAGGAGAAGTTTGTAATAATATTAAGACTTTGCTTAACTTGCCCTTCTACTTTTCCTGACTAAAAGGAAGTTTTTTTTTTTTATTTTTTTTTTTTTTTTTTATTTTTTAACAACCAGATAAATCATTTCCGATTTATCTTCCTTCCTTGTGCTCCTTTTTTATGCTTTTTACTCGGACTTATATTAAATGATATTTCGTTTTATTTTCAGAACAAAAAAATCATTTGCCCTTCAATATCACTATAAACACCATCAAAACCTGTGAAATGTAATTAGTTACTATTTCATTTGTGAAAGCCATCAAAACCATGGGAAATCATTCAATTGGTATACACAATTTTATAAGTTCAGAACATAAAATAAAATTTTTATGGAGATTAGTATATAATTTATTAGTGTCAATGATTTTGTGGTTTAGTGGCACGAGTGACTCTCTCCAATGAGAGATTATGAGTTTGAGCTCCAGTCGAAGCGATATTAACTCTTTGTGTTCCAATAAATTGAAAAAATAGCTATAAACAGATACTATATTGTAACAGAGAGCCAGTACTAATAAGAAAAAGTATATAAATTTATAAGTAAAGACATGACATGAATCACGATGGCCGCAAAGCATATTTGATGAATATTGAAATTTATTGGCTTGTTTTACAAACTAAATGAGTAAATGCCACGCCTACGTATGTACTCCAAGAAACATTCAAACCAATTGACAACCCCTTGAAAAGTCTATGCCACCACCCTCGTTTTTGAACTTTCGCCAATCTTTCAAAAACAAAACATGTAAATAAATATGTTTGAAGAGAAAAGTATTATTCTTGAAGATAGGAAAAAGAAAATGAATCGAGTGGTCCTTTTGATCATTTCAACACTCCCTTCCTCAGCTTCTTCCCTCAATTTGAAAGAATAGGTAACTGATTTAGTAGGTAATATTTAAAATAATAGATTAAGGTTTGAATCTTAGCAGTGTGAGGATTACACCAAAAGCTAGCATATCTCTGTTGTACATCGATATTTGGCACTACTGGAATATTGAATCACCGTGATTTACATAATCCCAAATGCTCTGTAGGGTCGGGTGTGGGACCCTTTGGATTAAAGATTCAATCTTTTGGGAGAAGCTTCCTCCCTCAATCCTCATGCACCAAATGTAATGTGTTTCCACCACCCCATTCATTCTCCAACCCGTCAATCTTATCACGAATCAATAAGATAAAATCTTAATTAACCCGATAATATAATGTAAATTTTGATACAATAAGTATGTGGTATTGTTGTTGATGGATGAATGTGAAATAAATATAAATATATCAAAAAGTAAGGTTATGAACGCCTACATTAACATACGTACGTGTTTGAAGGATTAAACAGATGAAGAGTCAAATAATTCAATATCTTATTGTACTAAAGTTCTTTTCTTGTAAAATAAAATACTTAGTATTTTCTTTAGGTCCAATGTTATTAGTAGAAAAGTTGAATTCAATTCTTCTCTTGAAATACGGTCAAATCAAAGTAAATACTTAGGATCCAACCTAGGTACTATAAATACACAACATTAAATTGTAGCGTAATCAATATCCTACCGACAAAAATTGTAACCAAAAAACCTTCCAACTAACCAAAAATACACACTACGTAAAAAAGTGAAAAGAATTTTTTAATTTTTTTTAAAATAAAAATAAACTTTTTTTTGCAACGTATAATACTTGTTCAAACAGCCATGCAGCGTTCGCCGGCAGCCAAGAACCTGTGCAATCAGCTTCTCCGGTACCGGAGCCAGCTACGGCCGGAGAAGATCCCGCCATGCGACGTGTTCGTTAACCACCGGGGGATCGACACGAAACGGAACGTCGCCGGGCTGCTTTACGACCACCTGAGGAGGCTCCGGCTCCGGCCGTTCTTGGACAGCAAGAACATGAAGCCCGGAGACAAGCTTTTCGAGAAAATCGACCCGGCGATCCGGAACTGCAAGGTCGGGGTCGCCGTTTTCTC